CATGAACACTTGCACCGCGCTCGCTGCGTGGCGTACACAGTTGTGAGCGAAGCTCGCAACTTCTTTGAGCAAGATTGGCATGATTGTTTTGCTGGAGCTTGACAGTATCATCAAGCATCAAGATGATTCAAACGCTCACTTGCTGGGAGAAGATAGGTGCTGCAGTGCTGCGTCTCTGTGCCAAGTAAAGCTGGGGCGCAAGCCGGTCGGCCACAGGAGTAATAGCGGAGAATTCGACGCCACTTGCCCGGACATCTCACTGAAATGCACGTATCACCAACTAACTTCGCCCCCTATCAATCCTAAATGCAACAAATCTCACACCAGCGATGCCCTCCCCTTTGCGCTCCGAAAAGGCGTGGCCCAAACACCATTGGTCTATGTAGCTGAAGGCTGAAGCAATCACAAATAATCAATCTTTGGCAGCCCCCGCGGAAGCTCTCAGTTTTATTTTTTCAGGTAGGGGGGATGGACTTTAGAACGGCCTTATCCGGAAGGCTCAGCCGCTCCGCAAGCGCAACCTCGTCGCCAGGCAGCAGGAACGCTAGAGCAGCTCGCGTGGCACGCCTCCGCGTCCAGCGCATGTTCCACAGCGCACGGAGTTCCGTACTTGCAGAGGTCCGTCCACCCAGGCAGGGCACCAGGGCATCAGCGGCCGGGTGGTCAGCGCCAGGAGTACTCGGTGCACACGGGCGATCCCAGACTAAGTGTCCGGCGGAAAGGCCGCGCGGTAATCCCACTGCAGAATGTTGCAGCACCGGCTTAGGGACGAGCGAGGCGGCTAAAGTCGTGAGCCTGTTGCCCAAGTTCGAGCCCTCCATGGCCTGGAGGAGTGGAGCTCGTGGCAGGGCGAGATCAAGCCAGGCCACTTCCACGACGGAGGCTGCTGCTGCTCGCGGAGCACAACTCGCAGGTCACGCTCCGCTCGCTCGCGCAGTTCTTAAGCCTGAAGGGGCAGTGCGTGATCCGTGAGCTGCCCAAGACTGGAAGCTGCTGCAGGATGGGCCAAGGGCTGGGGCTGCACTACCGCGGGCAGAGGCTGGCCTCGCTGAGCTTCGAAGCTTTCTCCACTCACCCCGAGCCAGCGGCACTGGCCGCAGGAAGGCAAGTGCGCCCCTGCGCAGCAGATCGGCGCCGGGTGCGCGGAGTTCGACTACATCGTGCCGGCAGGCCTCGCCGGGCAGCAGCAGCGCTTCCAGGCGCTCTGCTTTGCGTGCCACCAGATGAAGACCGAGACCGAAAGACGCCAGTCCACGTCGCTGGAGTCGCGCTCGGTCTACGACGCGTACGTACGTACACTCTCCCAAGCAGCCTCCGTTAGTGTTCCAGGCGCGGGCAGCGGCCACTCGAAGGCGTGGACGTGGTGCGCTGCCACAGGAACGGGCTGGCTTCCCGCTGTCTCGGTGGACCACACGCTGTGCAGCGGCGTGGCGCAGTGGTCCGACGTGCGCCACCGTCTGGCTGAGAGATCTTGGGGGGAGCTCTGTGCCGCTCTCCAGTGCCGCAGCCGCGACTATTACGAACGGAAGCGCGGCGAGGTAGTGCACCTCATCAGCAACCACAGCGCCGTCTAGAACCTGGGCGCCGGCGCGACGGCCGCCATGGGTCAGCTCCCAGTCGGACACGGCACGGAAAAGCCCAGCAGAACAGCGCTTGTCAGCTCGTCCAACCAGACGTGCGGGCCAACCCCGTTTTGGGCTGCGGGGACGGTGGGCGGTCCGGCTTTGAAGAAACGGATGCCCGCGCTGCGAGCGCTCGACCAGCGCACAGCCCATCTGCTCCAGCACCGGCCGGGCGTTCCGGTAGAAGAAGACGTGCCCGTCGTAGTAGGTGAACACCACGTCTTGGTCTGCGCGGGCTCGAAGCGGTCCAGGGGCTCGCCGGTGTTTGGAGATGAGGACCATGGGCGCGTTGCGCCACGCGCAGAAGGCTCGTATCTCCACCGGCGAGGTGCGCGCCAGTCGTGCTCCGGAAGGGCGTCGAAGTCTCCGCAGACATCCTCGAAGGGCACGCCCAGGAGTTGAGCCAGCTGCCGCGGCACGCAGGCGTTGTCCCCGGAGTCCCATTCCAGGATACTGTTGAAGCACGGCAGCTGGTACGACACGCGGCGCAGGCCTCGCAGCCTCTGCCGCAGATGGTTTCTACGTGTACGCGGCTGTTCCGGTGTTGCGTCGTCTCCGAGGACACCGAGCCGCAGCGTCTCCTGCTTGACGTTTTGCAGTATTTCCGACAGCCTGTCCCCACTCAGGACATTTGCGGAGGAGCCAGTCCCTGCGCTCGTAAGCCCAGCCCGCGTTTTTGCCGCCCGCCGCATCCCCTGATGAGCACTGGGATGTGTGCTACGTGCTGCGAGTACTTGTTCTTGAAGAACCGCCTCCCTAGGTTTGTCAGCTGGTCGGTGCCGTCCTCCCGCAGCCGCCGCACTAGGCCCCGCTGCCCGTCGTTCTGCAGTAGCACGTAGTCGGCCGCACCCTCCCTGACCAGCGGCTGCCTTGGTCGAAGGTCCTCGACTCTGGCTGCCGCCCGAGCATGCCGAAGTAGGCCTCCCCGGCCCTGGTGATGCTCCCGTCCGCGCGCTGGAGCAACGCGTAGGCGCCTCGGCCCCGCCTCAAGCCCAAGACACGGCTTCCGTCATCCGTGTCCCGGGCCCTCGATCCGGCCTCCCTGATGTGCTCCCGCTGCCTCGCCCAGGATGCCATTGTTGGGTTTGATTGCTTTTCTTAGGCTGGTTAAAAAAAAAAAGGTCGTCCGATCAAGGTGGCCGCTCCGCCCCCGGGTGCCTCAAAGCGCGCGGCATCAAATGGATCTTGATGTGTGGATTTTTGCATGACATTTGCTTGGTGTGCATGGTTTTGCATGTTTTTGGCATGGAATTTGCTTTTGACCTGACCCCCTGTCTTGAGGAAGGTGACGCCCTCGCCGAGCTGATGTGAGGTGGAACATCCTGGCGAAGCACTACGAGGGTCTGGCGCTGGGGGCGCGGGTGGGCAGTGCCGAGCTGGCACGTAGGAGTGCCGAGCAGGCACTGGTAGGTAGATGTGCCGAGCAGGCACTTAGGAGTGCCAGGCCTGTTTTTGTGTGTTTTTGCACGCTTTTGGGATTGCACCCTTTTGCGCCCTGATTGCACCCTAATTGCACCCTAATTGCACGGAGCTGACGCTGTCGTGTCGTGTGTTGGGGGGGGGGGGCCGCTGCGAAAGTGGCGGCCGCTGTACAAGTGGCGGGTGGTGCGACCACTGTTCAAGTGGCAGGCCACTGTACAAGTGGCATGGAGGGGGCCACTGTGAAAGTGGCGGCCACCGTACAACGGGCGCAGTGTCGTGGATCGAAGGTTGTGACGGGGTTTGCGTGGTGCTTTGCTATTTGAGCAAGTGGCGGAGTTGCGTGACTTGACCTTGAAATTTTTATTTTTCACGATTTTGTGGCATGTGGTTGTTTGGATGGGAGGGACGATGCATGAGGATTTGATGCTTGGAGGACAGTGGTTTGAGCGGCAACTTGGCAACCGTCTTGTGTGTGGCGTGATGGACCCTGCCCTGGGTGCCCTGGGTGCCCTGGGTGCCCTGGGTGCCCTGGGTGCCCTGGGTGCCCCAAGTGCCGTCTGGGTGCCCTGGGTGCTGCCCCAAGTGCGGCCTTGCTGTCACCCGGTGTCAGAGCAAAAATCACGACCAGGTGGAGCGGCCCCAAACAAGTCTTCGCGAACCTGTTCTTTTATTTTTTTTCCGCGATGCGGTTTCAAGAACGCCGGTTTAGAAGGGACAGGAGTCCCCGCCTGTGCCCGGCTTCACCAGCAGGTCTCTCACCTCCAGCGCCAACCCGCACTGCTTCCCCATGATCCAGACCTGCCGGGCCTCGATGTTGGCCTGACACTCGCAGCCGGCAAGAGTCTCGGGCCTCTGGATCTTGTTGCCGTCAGTGTCCCAAATGCGGACGTGCCGCGAGTCCAGCTTGCACTTGAGGAAAGTGGCGCCCTGTCGGGATTCCTTGAGGCAGCTCTGCCACCTGTCCCTCACATCGCCGTAGTCGCCCCAGATCCGGCTGGATCGCACGGACAGCTCCCCGATGCACCGCTTCTCAGGTCTCCCAGGCCCCGGAGCCTCTCTCCATGGCAAAGCACACATTCTGCCTTGGTCCCTGGTCCTCACCAAAGCTGCTGGGCTCCCACAGGATATGTGTCCACTCCAGACTATAGGCCTCCCCTCACACCTCAAGGGTGCCGTTTTGCCCCCCTTTGCGGAGGTCTGCACCTCGCTGACCGTGATGTTGCTGGCGATGGTAGTCATCTTGACTAGGTTGCCGGTCTCTTTTCTTATAGGGCGAGAAAAATAGTGGTCCGACCAAGTGTCGGCCCCAGCTCAAGCGGCTCGAGAGCCATTTCCGGAAAAAACGTGTTTTTGTCCACTTTTCCGGAAATTATATTTTACATGTTTTTTGCGCATGATTTTGCGTGACGGCTTGACGGTGTTGCGTCACGTTTTTCACGTGGTCGGTCGTGTTTACAGACCATGCACACGGGGCCTTGTGAAGGCGAGAGAGACTCGGCTTTGCTGCAGCCTTTATTCAGGGCACCCAGGGCACTCAGGGCACCCAGGGCACCCAGGGCACCCAGGGCACCTTAGGGCACTCAGGGCACCCCAGGGCACCCAAAGCACCCAGAACACCCAGGGTACTTAGGGCACCCCCAGGGCACTTAGGCACCCAGGGCACTTAGGGCTTGCGGGCACCCAGGGCACCCAGGGCACTTAGGGCTTGCAGGGCACCCAGGCCAGGGCACCCAGGGCATTCAGGGCATTTAGGGCTTGCAGGGCACTTGGGGGGTGCCTACTGCGTCCAGGTGGTGATGCATGTCACGGACCAGCTCCTTCCGGTGGTTTGTGGGCTTCTCAGAGTGTCGATTTCTATGTCTTGGTCTTGGAGTCTTGTTTTGGGTGCATCTCGCAGTGCAGTGTGTGGTTGCAGACCTTTGGCACAGTTCGGATCTCACCATGGCATTTCAAGCCATGTCTGGCTATGTTGGCGAGCTCTCCCGGGGGGGGAAGCCGAACCCGGATGAGGCCCTTGCCTGCCACTTCGACCAGCTGCAGGAAGCAGTCATTTCGGGCACCAGCGAGCACGCTCAGAAGTTGCTCGACATGGTGTGTCAGCGGGCTGCACAGCCCACGGATTCTGCCAAGCGAGATGCCCTTGCAGCCATCATGGAGGGTCAGGGCGTCGTGACCTGGGATGCAGTGCGGTTGGAGTCGGAGTTGGAGGCGCACCCCTCGAAGAAGCAAAAGAGGGTGCACAAGGCCCCCTTACAGGAAGAGTTGGCGCAGCAGGGCATAGAACCGCCCCGCCGGGCAACTGTGGCTCAGCTGCAGTCGATGTTGAAGCCCAAGGCAAAGGTCGAGGCCGCTGAGGGGCTTAGGCTGAGCAGTCCGCGGTCGTGAAGGCCCTCAAGGCCCGCCAAAAGCCGCCGGCGCCGTTCAAGAGTCGAGGTGATGTTTCGAGCTACCTCTACATAGACAGATGGATGTGTGAGCCCATTGCCGTGGAGAACATCCACGCGTTTGGGAAGCTGCGGGCAGCCGGCCAACTCAACCTCAGGCCCACTCTGTCTGAATTCCTTGCAAGAGATGTGCGGGGCACTGGCCATGTGTGGAGCGTGTACCGCGCATGCGGCACTGCCAGGCAGATGAGCTTCCAGGGTCGGATGTACCCTGGCTTTCACCAGCACCTATACGACGAGCTTCTGAAGAAGGAGGTGTCCGAGGAGCAGAAGAGTGCGATGACGCCTGGGGGGAAAGGCAAGTCCTTTAGTGAGATTGTGGGCAACTACCACCTCCTCCCACCAGTGTTTGAGGAGCTCCGCAATGCCGGCATGCAGAGCTACGCAGCATCTCGCGCTGCCTTCACACTGCCCAACTTGGAGCGAAGCCTGATTCGCAGCGGTCTCCCTCTGGCCAACATAGACCAGTGCAACAGCTCAGCGCAAATCCTCCTCAATTGCCACCCAAATTCACCTTGTTTGAGGCGCTTGGTGGAGGACAGGGAGGCCGTCTACCGCGAGTTGGGAGTGCCCCGCGTCGATGCGAAGAAGTTCATGAACGCCGTCCTCTTCGGGGGTGGGCACTTCCTTGTAGAGGACTTCAGGCTTACCCATCGTCTCTCCAACCTACCACCGTTCGTGTGGAAGCTGATGGACGAACTTGCCACAATCCGCAAGGCTGATTTTCAAGACAAGGCCAATGCGAAGTGCACATTCTGGAGAAGCGGAAGGGGTATGTGGAGGCCCAGCTCCAGACCTTTCTGTGTCAACGCGAGGAGCGCCGCATCGTGGATGAGATGGACAGGGCTCTGCAGCAGTCACGGCTCGGCCAGGTGGTGAGCTGGGATGACGGCCTCGTCGTGGCCCCCTTCCACACCCCTGCAGACTTTGACCTGGCCGCCTGGCAGAAGAAGGTTCTGGAGGTCATGCAGTCGGCCTCGCCCAACCCGCTGGCGTTGAAGCCGCAGGAGAGCTTTGCCGAGGTGCTGGCGACGTACAAGGCACTTTACCCGGACCTGGACTGGACGCGGGAGGACAGTGACTGGCTGGAGACGGAGAAGGTGAGGCGCAAGCTGACGGGGTACCTTGCCACGGGCATTGACAACGCCGACAAGCTCGTGGTGAAGCTGTTGTCCCGCGAGATTCTGCCTTGCGGCGCCACGGTGTCCGAGTCGTTCAAATGCCTTGCAACAAGCCGGACCCACTTGGAGACGGCCTACTTCGATGCGGAGACTGGTGCGTGGCGCATGGAGGCCCAGGCACACTTGGAGGAGCAGCTTTCCGATATGGCCAGCGAGGTCATCCTCTCCGCCACTCCGCCCAAATGGAAGGGCATGCCTCCGGCAGTGGCGCATCGCACCGCGGCCATGCGGGTGATTGCAAAGAGCGCCCTGCAGGGCAAGCTGTACGACGCGGTCTTCATGCGGAAATTGAACGGGGAGGCCTACCGCCGCTTCGTGATGTTCCGCAACGGGAAGGTGATGGACCGTGACGACTACAGCGTCACCACAGGGAGGAGGGAGCTTCTGATCTCGATGCGCCTGAACATCGACTACAATGAGGGGCTCTTTGAGCAGCTGGATTCCGAGCTGGACGACCTTGTGACGAGCTTGCAGGCCGTGCGAGACTTTGAGGCCGGCATGACCGACTACCTCGAGGACAGCACCTTGCCGGTGGAGCTGCAGGAGCGGCTCAATGCCGGGGTCAAGCATCCGGCCATGGGGGCCCTTGAGACGCTCCGTAGCTGTACTGACTGCTGGGAGACGGCCCTCTACCATCTCAAGGTCGGCGCCTACAGGCTCTTTGCTCGCGAGTGGTTGGAGGAAGCCCACTGCTGGGTGGGGGAGGGGGGCAACGGCAAGACGTGGCAGCGGGCGGCCCTGTTCGGCACCTACAGCATCTCCCCGGGCCACGAGTTGCTGAGCTGCCCGGCCAAGGGCCTGGAGAGTGCGAGTCCTGCTCGCATGCGGCTGCAGGGCACGCGGCTGGTGACGTTCTCGGAGATGGAGCGGGCCGCGGCCGTGCATAGCTCCATCTTCAAGCAGTGGAGCGAACACTGCACGCGCGTGCAAGCGCGCAACCTTTTCAGTGACATTGTGGAGTTTCAGGGCGAGGGTTGCTGCTGTTGTTTCATGTCGTTTTTTTGCATTTTCCGTTTTCACAGTTCTTCCTCAATGGCATCATGCGCAGGTGCAATTCGGGATGATCCTCTCGACCAACAAGTCCATCTCCTTCACGGACCTAGACGGAGGAGTTGAAAGGCGCTTGAGCATGCCATGGCCAATGCGCTTTACCCGGAAGCCGACTGCTGAGCCCAACCACCGCAATGCGGACGTGTCGTTGAAGAACAAGGAGGTCCTGGCGGGCCGCGCTCCTGGCCTGATGTGGTTGCTGATGAAGATCGCCCGGATCTTCCCCGGGGGCAACGACACCGTTGTCAGGCCCCGCCCATACCGGGCGGCGGTGGCCACACGGGCGTTCTTTGAGCAGAACGATGCCAACATCGCCATGTCAACCTTCTTGGACAAGCTTGAGACGACGCCCCAGGCATCCAAGGACCACCTTGGCTACATGGAGGTCCTGGAGTCCTGGTATGCCCGCTGCAAGACCTTTCTGGCGAAGGCGCGCAGCAAGCAGCTGTTCCTCGACACAAGACCTGTGGCAAGTTCGTGGTGAAGGTGAAGTCTTCGGGCAGGTTCGTCGCCTCCGAAAAGGAGGACAGTGAGGGCGGCGATTGCGAGCCGAATTGAAACTTTTACTTGGCATCCAATGACCCGGTACAGACCAGGCGCCTCGATCATTTTTCGAAGCACTGGAGTGGTCTAGGACCTGCTTGGCTGAACAGTATCACTGAGACCGATTCAGCGCTAGAGCCACGAAGAAACCGGGGCACTCGAAGCATTGGGGGCACTTAGGGCACTTAGGGCACTTAGGGCGCTTAAGGTACTTGGGGCATCGATGTGCTTTTTGTGCGCGGCCAAGGTGGAGCCTCCAGAGGCGTGCCTGCGAGCCTGTGGAGGGAAATCGGGAGGTGGTTGGATGATGTAGATGTGGTGAGACTTTCCCAGGTCAATGTAGCGATCCAGTGTTTGCAGGAGCAATCGGACATTTGTTTTGCCGTGGAAAAACTGGATGAAGCACGTATGATCATGAATGGCAACCCCGCTCGCCACGACCTTGTTTGTGACTTTACCCTGAAGTGCCTCTACGAGCTCGTAGAGTCTTGCCCTCGTGACATTCTGATCTTCTTGGCGGAAGGCGGTCCCGAACAGCCGGAGTGCCCTTACCCACAGCTCGGCGACATACTCGATATGCTTGAATGCTTTGGCAAAGGTCGGGAGGTGCATCGCTTGCTGGAGATGCGGAATCTCCATTCATGTGAATGGGCTGAAGGCGTATTTCCAGGCCTGGAAGGTGATCGGGATCCCGCAGAAAACTGAGCAGAAGGCGCGTCGATTCCATGTCCTGGCGGTGTGTTTGCGTGATCTGCGGCAGGCCGTTTCCACTGTGGCTTCCAGCCAGTCCAGTCAGATGCTTGGTATTGTGATCGGAGCAAATTGCATGGCCCTTTCTTGCCGAGGTTTCAGTTGAAGCCTGACGCGGGTGGCGCTCATAGTACAGGCACCGCCGCGCAGCGACAAAGGTGCCGCATTTTTGAGCCGGGATGAGTTTTTGAGGTGTTTTGCGCTCATGCAGTGATGTTTGAGAAGCCTTCTGACCTCTCCACGACACCCCCCCAATAAGTTACGGGACGCGATTCTTTCCCCCCAACCGCACTGCGGCTGTTCTTTTTTTTGGGGTGCTCACCTAAAGCGCGGTTTGGCTCAAAAGTACTGCAAAGTTGCCAGCTGGAAAGGATTATCGGCCGTAAAGGCAGCCGTACGAGAGCCACCCGAGGGTGTCCGGGCCGCCGGCCGAAGAGAGAGATGTCCACCAATGGGCAGGTGCGAGTTTTCCGCCAACCCCTTCCCCCACGCACTTCTTGTTCTAAACGTGTAGGCCGTTTTTGCGCCGCGAATTCAGGCCGTTTTTGCACCATGCGCTTCTTGTTAACGCGTGCTTTGCGGTACTGGCAAGATGTGACGGCTTTTTTGGCTCAATCGGTTCCAGCTGTCAGTCAAGGGTCCCGGGAAGTCGTCCAGCTGCCTCACAGCAACCGGCCTGCCCCGCCTCGTCAGTCGGCCCGCTGCCCTGGGGCGCTGGCAGCGCCAGCTTCAGCAGGGTCTCCCGGCCCTCCGTGCTTTGGACGGTCATGGAGTCCACGGCCCGCAGCTGCTGCACGTCGCCGTACTGAGGGTTGAAGCTCCTCGCCGCGTTCGTCGGTGCTCGGAAAGCTCCCACGTCCTCCACTGCCTTGATGCGGCGGTTCGTCAAGTCCTTGTTGTGCTGGAACCTGTCGGCGTTGTCTTGGAGGACCCTGAACTCTGTGGCCGGCTGCTTCTCCACGTCTTCCGGGGCGCCGTGCACCGTCTCGTGGGGCCGCGCGTTGTAGGCCGAAGCGGTCTGCTCAAAGTGGTCGCTCCACTGGCCGCCCTTGCGGGCCACGCGCGTGGCCAGGTCCTTCTTCAGCGTCTGGATGCCCCGGTCCACCACGGCCGTGGCGTTGCGGTCCTCAGGGCGCTTCGTGCGGTGCACGGCTTCCGCGGGCAGCTCCCGGTCCAGCGTGGCGAACTCGTTGCCCAGGTCGGTCGTGACCACGAAGTTCTTGTCGTCCCCCTTGGTGGCCCGGCCGACCGTCTCTGCGTTCTTGTTCTGCAGAGGTTCCACGGCAGCCTCCCGGGTGAAGACGTCCATGACCACCAGGCCGTACCTGGTCTTCCCCGAGTGTTCTGGCTGAAGTCGATGAGGTCGGCCTGCAGCCGGTCGTTCGGCCCCTCGGCGGCCGCCCCCAGCGCGCGCGGCCGGGGCGCCTGCACCTGTCGGCCCACGTCCGCCTTCAGCGCCTCGAAGGCCATAGCCTGCGTCACGTCGAGGTCACGCTGCCTCGCGAGTCGGTGCAGCTTCCGGGGGTCCCGCACGTTGAAGTCGTCGGCCAGATCTCTCAGCGCCTCCATGTTTACTTGTTCTTCGGCCTGCGCTGGGCCTGCCAGGCTTCGAGTGCGTCCAGCCGGGCCTGGAAGCACGCTGGTCAGGTGAGAGTAGTCGAGGGTCACCATCTCCGTCCCGTCGCTCGATCTGGCAGTGCCTGTCAGGTTCTTCCACTTCGTTCCTGCGAAGTCGTCCGAGGCGAAGCCCAGCCTCAGGTCCTCGTTCATGTCCGGGCGCTTGTACTGCTTGGCCTCCACGGAGTCGAAGAGCTGCTGGAGCTCCGCCACGTCGGCCTCGGCCATCTCCGTCTTCCTGCTGTCCGACAAATTTGTGAAGCTCGTGTTGCAGACCACGTTGCCCGTGTTGCCGGCGATCACGAGGCAGCCGGGGTTCCTCTGGTTCGTGGTCAGGGACAGCTGCGTCGAGAGGCTCTTCGTCTGCACCAGCGCCTCGTCGTTGACTGGTGCGCCCCGCCGTCCCGCTCCAGGAAGACCCTGCGCGCTCTGGTTGCCCAGCAGCCGCAGCTCCGGGCCGCTGTCGGGGGCCGCGCTGTTGTTGGACACTTGCAGCTTGCTCCAGCCCGCCCAGTTCTTCGTCAAGAAGAGATCGTCCGAGAAGTCGGAGGTGTTGGTCACGGTGAGCGTGTTGGAGGCGAAGAGCTGCGGCGCGGAGACCGTGCCCGAGCTCGTCACGTCGCCGCAGACCACGCTGCCCGTCGACACTCCGCCGCTCGTGGCCGTGAAGGTGCAGTCCAGGCTCTCGCAGTCCAGCGGGCCCGTGGAGGCCGCCCCGCTGACTGTCAGCGTGGCGCCCGTGAGCGCACCGGTGGCAGCGAAGCTCGCCGCGGTGGCTGCACCCGAGGCCGTCAGCGTGCCAGTGGACACGTCGCCCACCGTGGTGAAGTTCCCGGCGCTGGCCGTGTTGTTGATGGTCAATGTGCTGCCCGTGATTCCTGTGGCGGAGCTCAGCAGGCCCACGCTGGCCGCGCCGGTGATGCTCAGTGAGCTGCCTGACACGGCGCCGGTGGACGACAGCGTGTGGCTACCGGCTGGGCACGGCCTGGTGGCCAGCGTGACGTCGTCGGCCCCTCCGTCGAGGAACTCGTGCTTCAGCCGAGGCCGCCGTGTCCTCCTCTGCCTTGCCGGCCTCCAGGGTTGCGTCTAGGATCTGGAGCCCGTGGACGTCCACCGTTCCTGCCGTCAAGTGCGCCCCAAAGTGCAGCTTCGCAACTCCGTTCGGAGGCACGGTGAAGTACATCTTGGCCGTGCTCCAGGCGCCCTGGTCACCCACGAAGCTGCCGTACAGGGGGTCGTAGACGTTGTCGGCCTCGGACATGTGCGCCACGAAGTTGGAGGCCGTGCCAAGCCGGTACCGGCAGGCGAAGAGGAGCTCTCGGCCGGGGGACAATGTTCCACGGGTTCGCCGCCAGGGTCAGGGTGTAGCCGTCCACGCTCACCGCGGGCCCACGCTGCAGCCGCTGCTGGGGCGAACCGTCCAGTTTGACAGTGAGACGTCCGTGGGGCCCAGGATCTGCTCTCCTATGGCGGCCACCACCTCGTCGGCCCCTCCGTCGTCCGGAAGCGGACTGCTATTTGCAGGGCCGAGGCCGCCTCCGTGACTCCGAGCTTGCCCGCAAGGAGGCCGTCCACCTGCGCGATGGTATAGTAGCTGAGCAGGGCGGCTGCGATGCTCGAGGCCGTTGCCGTGTCCTGGTCGGCGGCCGAGCGGTACGCCACCAGCGCCGAGGTGATTTGGTTGGTTGTGAAAACGTCCTGGTCCGGGCCCGTCCGGTAGGCCAGCAGCGCGCCTGTGATGGCGGCCTGCGTCTGCGTGTCCTGCGCGCTTGCCGTGCGGTAGTCTCCCAACAGGGCGTCCACTTGCGCCGAGGTGTAGTAGGCCAGCAGCGCGCCTGTGATGGCGGCCTGCGTCTGCGTGTCCTCGCTTGCCGTGCGGTGGTCTCCCAAGCAGCGTCGCGTCGGCCTTGGCCCCCTGGAGCGCCGTGATGCTGGCGTCCCGGCTAGCAAGCTGCGCTGCGACGAAGGCCTCGGTGGCGAGACCCAGCAGGGCATTTGCTATCTTGGTGTCCACGTCCAGTGGAGTGTCCAACCCGTCCACCGTGGAGAGCAGGGCGGCCAGCGCGCTGGCGTCCGCCTTGCCGAGGAGGGCGGCGTCCAGGGCTGCCGTGGTGACTGCGCCCAGGAGGGCCGCCGTTATCTTAGAGTCCACCTCCGAGGAAGTGTCGACGGACAGCAGGGCGTACACGGTCAGCGCGCTGGCGTCCGCCTTGGAGGCCTGCAGGCCCGAGATGGAGGCGTCTCGACTCGCGAGCTCGGAGGCCAGCGCTGCGGCGGTGACAACGCCCAGGAGAGCGTTGGCCACCTTGGTGTCGACCTCCAGCGGCGTGATCCTTGCTGCTATGTCTAGGGAGTGCTGGTCCACCACCGTCTTGAGGCCGTAGTTGGCCGCCACCGTGGCCAGCGTGGCGTTGTTGGCCGAGACGATGGAGCCGTTCATGGCCGCCGTGGTGCTGTAGTTGGACAGCTTCAGGTCCACGCTGTCGGGGGTGCTCTTCGTCGCCACCACGCCCTCCAGCGCATCGAAGGCCGACTGGTCTGCCTTGTTGGAGAGACCCGTGGTCAGCGAGCTCT